AAATATACATTCCCATTCCAAATTGGAGGAATGAGGGTATAATGAGGAAATATTAGACCAGAACAAGATTGAAAAACCATCAGGGAAAACAGCAAATCCAGTAACTCCATGTCTGAATTCTGAGACTTTACTTCTCAAGGACTTTGAGGCCTCAGCCCTTCCAGCTTTGCTCTCTCTCGAGATGGTATAATTCCCTGTATGCAGCTCTTCTTGAGGTCTCCACTGCCAACCAGGCTTCACCTTCACAGCTTCAAGCAATAGCTCAGGGCCTCTTGACCTGTCAGGGCCTTCTTTATGCAGGGATTCTCCTGCTGCATGCTTCCTGGCCTCAGGGACTCTCTGAAACTGAGGACGGAGAACTGATGACCCCTTCGCTCTTGCATCTTCCCTGCCACCAAAGCCAGCACCAGGTGAATGACACTACGTAGATTGACTGCATGTTTGGGATGGACCCACACCTGCTTCATGCACATTCCTAGCTTTTCTCCACAGTGTTTTTTTCTAGTAGAAAACCTCTCCAGCATTTCTCTTCTACAAGTTGGAGGCTTAGCTGGGTGTGGTCTTTCCCTGGAGGCACTCTTTCCATTGTTTAAATGAAAATCTTTAGGCCTCTCCTTCATCACTTTAATCTTCTTATCAAAGGGATCCTCTCCTTCAACACATGCCTTTGCTCCAACATTAATCTTCCTAGTGTTTTTTTTTAATCCAAACTGCACATTCTGTGTTTCTCTCTGCCCTGTTTGCATAATACTCACCATTAACAGCCACACCACCATTTCTACATTAGTGTGTCCTGAAATATCCTCCACCAAGAAATGAGCCCACTGCATTTCAATGTAGCCTCAGGCAAGCTTTTTGGCTATTGACAGATTCCAGCCAGACTCTGCCAAAATATACCAACTGCTGCTTAAGTCCTTTTTTCCCTCTGGAACTACATTTGTCTCAGAACTACTTTCTTCCAGGCTCCTACTAGAATAGCGCATTCAGTTCTGCTTACAGTAACCAACCACTTTTCTAGCCCAAAATTCCAAAGTCTTCCACCTTCCTCCAAAACCTCATATGGTCAGGTTCTTCACAGCAACACCCCACTCTCGCTGCCCATTTCTGTATTAGTTACTAGCTAGCTCAGCAGAGTAGAGAGGAACCTGTGAGTAGTGAGAATGGAGCTGGTCCTAGAGCAAGGGTATCAATACCCAGTGAGCAGGGTCTGACTTCCCAGACTAGTCTGGAGTTTTCAGGGGGCATAAGAGGGGGAGCTTAAGCCCAAGTCAAGGATGGTGACAGATGGGAAGGGGGTAACTAAGTGAGCAGATTTCTAATTTTTGATATAGGCACTTATTAATCTCAACTTTCTTCTAAGGACTGCCTGTACTGGATCCCATAGGTTTTGGTATTATTTTCATTTTCATTCGATTCAAACAATTTTAGAATTTACTTCTTGATTTCTCCATTGACTCACTTTTTACATAATAGTGCTTTGTTTAATTTCCATGAGTTTGTGTACTTTTTTGCATTTATTTTGTTGTTGGTACCCAGCTTTAATTACTTTGTGGTCAGATAGAATGCAACAGGGATTTAAAGTTCCCTATATTTGTTGCAGCAATCTTTGTGTCTTAATATGTGATTTATTTTGTAGTAGATTTCATGAGCATCTGAAAAGAAAGTGTTTGTATTGAATTATCACTAGATGTCTGTTGGGGTACCCTGCCATTAAGGTCATAGTCCACCATGTCTGGACAGCTGTCTGAGCTTGGCTCAAAATGGAGAAATCCCTTTAGGAGGTCAAATAGTGGCTGTAATTGGCTTGGGATGGGAAGGAAGGGCCTTAATATTGCCTAAAAAGCTCTGTAGAGAATTAAGGGAAAGGGGATGAGGGGTATCCAGGATAGGTTTAAGGGGCCCAATAGTAGTAGGCATTATTTCAGTCCTCAGGAAGGTAATGGGGGGAACCAATTGTATCTTATTTGTGGCTATCATAAAACCTCTTGTCCCTAGGGTGTTTATCATAGAATCTCTCAGGTCCTCCAGAGAGGAATGCTTGTCTTCACAGACCAAGAGGTCATCCATGTAATGGTAAACATGTAGGCCTTCTCTCAGATGGGGTGCCAGTGCATTTGCAGTGGCCTCCTGGCAGATTGTAGGGCTATTTGCCATGCCCTGTGGCAGAACTTGCCACTCATATCAATTGGCTGGCCCAGAGTTGTTAATCATTGGAACTGAGAAGGCGAAATGTTGGCAATCATTATTATGTAAAGGGATGGAGAAGAATCAGCCTTTTCTATCTAGGATTAACAGGGGTGTATTAATGGGAATGGTGGAGATCATGAGCAGGCCCCTTTGGAGTGATCTCCATATTTTCATGGTTTTGTTTATGGCTCTGAGGTCTTGTAGTAGTCTCCATGCCCCTGTATTTTTCTTTATGACAAAGACTGGGGTGTTCCATGGGCTCCTAGAGGGACTAATATGACCCAGCTATAATTGTTCTTTGACAAGTCATTGTAAAATGAGTAATTTCTCTCTGGGTAATGGCCACTGTTCCTCCCAGACTGGTTCTTTGGTGATCCAGTCGAGGCAGGGAGTCTGGTAATCAACAGTGGCCTTTAGGATTGGGATTTTTGTTCTAGGAACCTCATATAATCATCTATTTGAAAGCACTCTCCTTCAGATACACTGGCAAGAACTACATTGATGTCTTCCAGGATATCTTGTCCTATGAGATTTGTGGCTATATCTGCAATCAGGGGTCTTATTGTGCCAACCTCTCCGTTGGGGCCCTCCCATTTATAGAAGTCTTTGGTGATGAATGCTTGGTAGGGTCCTCCTGCTCCCATCAGCTGAGGTCCTGGTGTTAATTCCCAGTGTGGGGGAACCTTGGAGCATCTTAAGATGGTTTTATCAACCCTGGTGTTGAGGAGGCATTTGAAAAGTTTATTGTCTGTTTTTATGGTTAATTTTGGATGTTGTTTTCTGTAATGCTGGTTACCCACAATGTTTGTGGCTTTCCTCTTGTTAGCAGGGCTGAGGGTTGCCCTGAGAGGAGTTTAAAGGTGGCAAAGTTTACCATCTTTGTCATATTTAGATTTACAATCTTTTTTTCCAGTGGAAGCCCTTTTTGCAGTGAGGACAGATGGATTTAGGGGGTCGAAGGGCAGTTGAATCATATTTTGGGCAATTTCCTTTCCAGTGTCTGGTCTCCCCACATTTAAAACACCTTGAGTTGGATTGGATTGAGGCTACAAAGCCCTGGGCAAGAGAAAAGGCCTGGTATGAGGCGGTCTCAATGTTGTGGGTGGCCATGATCCATTTGTCATAATATTCCTTTTTTAGTCCCTGGCATGCTTGTCTGTGTTCAGGGTCATCCCTTCCCAGATGAAGTTGTTTAGAAGCATTGCTTTGCCTGTGGGGTCTGTTATTTTTCTGTCTAAACTGGCTTGTACTCTTAGTATAAAACCTGGGAGGGTTTCAGTTGGTTTTTGTTTTAGAAAGGTCAGTAAAGAGGCCTCTCCAGGCCCTGTGGACAAGGGGGTTAGGCTGTCCGAGTCCTGGAGTGCACATAAGCGGACCTGTTCAAAACAGCTGGCAGGGATCATGGCCTGTTGGATTCCTGTGGAGAAGTTGCCCTGACCGAACAGTTGGTCATAATTCCCATCTATGAATCCAGTGGGTGGATCTTGTCCTTGTTGTGGTCCTAGTTGTTGATTATGCATGCCATTTTTTCTAGCCTGTATTAGGCATTTGTCTCTAAAACAAAGCCTCCCATTGTACAAATAACGGACTGGGAGAGTGGATTGACAGATATCTTTCCAGTCTTGGGGGGTTAGGAGGTTGGTATTGAAAGTTTGTAATATAGATTTGGTCCATGGAGCATGGATCCCTTCTTCATGGACGGCTTGGCGCAGTTCTTTTAAATCTGTTGATGGGAGGGGATATCAAGCCAATGGATGTTGTCTTGTTAGTTGTAGGTTAATGGGAAAGGTCCTTATGGGTGGGATTTTTGGGTTCTGAGGCCATTGTGGTTGAGGATATTGGGGGCAATAGCTCTAATTATCCCTGAGATTACAGAGCTGTTCAATGGCTGTGTGTGTGGCAGGGGTGGCATTGTAGATGGTGGCGCTAAAGGTGAAGGAGGGGAGGGAGAAGGATTTATCTGGGGATTTTCAGTGTTTTTTGGAACCTGGGTCTTAACATCTGGGTCTTTGTTTTCCTCAGCCCATGAGGACTTGTAGGGGGGGAAAGGGGGAAGGGTTTCTTTGGTTGGTGAGTATTTTTTGTCTGACTAGATCAATTGCCTTTTCTGGGGTGACTAAATCTGCTACTGGGCAATCTTCAGGGTCTTCTTCTTCATTTGAGTCCCCCACCTTATTTTCCCGTATTTGCTTTTTGTCTAGTGGGTCCTCCTCAGGCTTGGGCGTCTTTCCTAAACATTGTCAGATGGCAGCTATAATGGGAAGGAAGGAAAGGGGCAAATGGTACCCTTCCTGGATTTCTTTTTTACGAGTCAGGTAGGCAACACAGGTCCAGACGTCCCTGTCAGAGATATCTGCTACAGGACCCAGCGTACAAATTGAAACACCTCATTCCAAAATTCTAAGCCTTCCTTTTTGGAAATCTTAAATCTTCTTGACTTAAGTAGGGCTCTACAGGAGCAAATTTGGAGATGCCTCTGACGTGATGTTGAATTTTCCATTATAGGAAAGAAAAGAAGTGTTGTCAGTGGTGTTCAATGTTCCCAAGGCAGCTTGCCATTGGGGGGAGGGAGATTGAAATGTTCCAATGAACACATGCCTGCCCACAGATTTAAGAGACTGGCAACCATCCTAGAGACTTTTAACTAGTTGCTGTGTTATCAGATCTTTTATGAGCGATGTAAAGGTTATTGCCTACACCCAGTTGGGCTGTCGGGGTCTGGAAAGAGGGCAGGGGTCCTTTGGCCAATGTCGGGGAGTTGCCCGACAGAGAGGCTTCAGTTGCCTGCAAACCATATCTGATCTCTCACGAAGATGCAAACTGAAAGTAAAGCAAAGAGAGGACTGACCGGGCCTCAGTTGGGACGGTTAGGCAAAAATGCCGCTACCCTTGCGGAGGGGGTACTCACAAACTCCGTGCATTCCAGGAGCCCCACGATGGGCGCCAGCTGTGGGTCTCTCTTCCCTTGTGGGTCATTGGCCACTGATCTGCGAGAACAAAGGGAGCAGAAGTGATGAACAGGGTCAGGAAGGCCATGAGTATGACGGAAAGAACTCCCAGGAGTAAGCTTCAGTGAGACAGCTCATTTATTTAGGGGAGTTGGAGGATAGGGTGAGGACGGCAGCCAAATCTTTACCTGATAGGTGTTCATAGAATGCTTTATTTGCATGTGGCAGGAGGACCCTATCATGTAGAAGGGGGAGGAGGGATTGACTGGCTGTAGTGCAGTGCCTAATTATCATATGGGAAAACCAGGGGCAGCTTTTGCAGGGAACTATGTCAAAGGTCAGGTTCCAAATAAGGTCAGGCATCTGTGCTTAGAGACACTTTCCAAATAAGGTCAAGCAAAGAGTAGGAAGCCCCTGCTGAGAAAGGGAGTCCTCCATTTTGAGCTGAGCTTGGGGAGCTGTCTGGACATGGCGGACTATGACCTTCACAGCAGGGTCCCCCAACATCTCCCCCTGTTTTGTTTGATAATGGAGAGGTATCATCATAAGCTTTAAGAACCAATTCATCTATATCGGGAGAATCCAAGGTCTGATAATGGACCATGACCTGATCGGTAGTAATTTTAGCAATGGTGGTAATTTGTTGTCGAAGAAATTGTATAAGGTGGGGAGCAAGCATCAAAATAACACATAGCATAATCAGGGGGCTGACAAAGGGTAAGAGCCACGAAAACAGGGGGGTAGTCTTGGGGCAAGTCTGGGTTGATGTGTAAATAGGGTTTCAGAATTAGTTCCAGCACAGCTATTGATATGTTCACTTCTGAGACTGGGAGGAAACGGTCTATTGAGTTAGATGATTCTTGCTTCCTATCTTCTAAAGTCTGTAGGCGTTCATGAAGTTCTATGAGTGACCCTTGGATGACAGAAGCTGGGTCACAGTGGGAGTGAGTTGTGCTTCCTGGAGGCCAAGCACAAGATGTCACACAGATGAGTATGGTGGATCTAACCTTGGGGTCCCAGCCTGGGACTGAAGTTGTAGGATGAGACTTGGTTCCTAGGCAACATGGCTGGGAGGGTGTTTTATGCTTGGTTGGGCTGGCTCTGGAGGTTCCTAGCTGGGATTTGGATATCAGGAGCCTCCTGTCTTATTTTGTTAAGATCATGTTTGTGGGTGTTGGGGACATGGCTTAGTGTCTTGCTGTGCTTCCACAGACCAGAGTTTGGTTCCTAGCACCCACATCATGCAGCTTAAAATGATGTATAACTTTACCTTCAATGGATCAAATACCCTCTTATGGACTCCACTGGTATGCAAATGCACACACACACACACACACACACACACACACAGAAACACACACACAAACTAAAAAATAAGAAACTTCATCCATACATATTTATCGTATTTATTTATTCCCTGTATTTCCTTGCCATTTAATTAATATCAGTTGAGATAATATAAACAGTTATGTGACATTAGATCTATATTAAAAGATATGATACCAAAAGGCTACATATTCCTTGAGGGAGGTTGGGAAGGCATGGTGTGCTACGGTTGCACATAGGATAGTTAGGTAGACTTATGATTAATATTTTCTTCCTCTGGGAATTAAACGTGACATAAGATGTGATTGGGTGTTAACAAGGGGTAAGCTTGTGGTAGTTAATTTTGATTGTCAACTTGATTGGATCTGTAATCAACTAAGAGACACACTTCTGGGTATGTATATGAGGATATTTTCTGGAAGGGTTAACTAAGGAGGAAGACCCTCTCCTAAGTCCTGCAGCATCTTCTGGTGGGAGCCCATATGTGAAAAGGTCTGAAGGAAAAGCAGTTCTTTCTCCTGCCCTCCTTCACTCCTTGCTGATAAGTGTATCTACCCTGTTGACACACAATAGACATCGGAATTCAACTTCTTTAGCCTTCCAGTGAGGACTGAAGAACAGCAGTTCTCCAGGAATCCCCCAGAGTCTCAGCAACAGATTGAGACCACTGAGGCATCATAGCTGGTGAACTGAGCATCAGCTGGGTTCTCAGCCTTTCCAGTGTGCATCAAGTCATTGTTGGATATTATAATCTAATAAATTCTGCTTGTGCATTTATTCTATCTGCTATATTTCTCTAGAGAACCAAGAATAATAAAGGGTCCAGAGGTCCAGTTCTTCATTTAACTTTTTTTACCCAGGCTTGCTATGTAGTTGTCAGTCTTGGCTGATGTGGTACTCACTGTGTATCCCAGGCTGACCTAAACTCACAGGAATACGCCTGTCTTAGCCACTTGAATGCTTGTATTACAGACCTGTGCCACCTCACGTGGCTCCATTTGTCCTTTCAAGCCTACCTAAACAATATTACACAATATAGAACTTTCTAGACTTTGGGGGGATTATCTATACTCCACTTTAAAATAATTTCATGGAGACATTTGAGAACTCATATGTTTATATTTTCCTATATTATTAAAGTGCAGTTATGATTCCTTAATAGTAGTCGTTTTATATTATCCTATATAATGTAGTGATACATTATGATTATTTACTGCTGTTATTAATAGAATAATATTGTTTGTAACAATGTCAAATTACCAGTCATGAGAGATCCTATAGTGACACGAGTCTGTAGGTGGCTTTGTTCCATCTTCTGCTAATGATGTTTAGTGTTTCTTAGTGCTGCCCACTGGACCTGGTAAATCCTGATTGGTATCAAGGGACAATCCAATACTAAGCATTGGGGAAAATTCATCTTACTTTCATCTCTGCTCTGAGTGGCGTAGGTGACCTTTCCAGTCTGGAGATGTGTTTTCTGTTGGGTGATGGGGGGTGGAGGGAGTAGCAAATCCAGTGCCATGAAAAGCATTTTAGAGAAATACTCTGTGTGCACAAAGGGCCATTTTGAGTGAAGAGCCTCTTGCCTCCTGTCCTGCCCGGGGTACTTCCCCAGAAGGATGGTCTCTTGCTCGTGTTGGAGCAAGAAAGGCAGCAGGTAGGCTGTGGGGTTCCTGGGGACGTGAGGAAGGTGTGGAAGCTTTTCAGAATTCCAGGTGAACTCACGTCCCAATTCTAGGAGGACACTGGGGAGGTGTGTATTCTTTTTTTCTAGGGGACACTAGACAAAATTTCAACTGAGATAGAAATTCGGTTTATCCAGTTCTTGGCCTGTGAATTGATATGGAGAAACATAATTTACAGACATGTCCATGCGTTAAATTTTTCTCTGGAACATCTTATGGACATTTCAAATAGTGGCTCTAGTCTTTAATCCCAGCACTCAGGAGACAGAGGCAGAGCAGACAGGTCTCTGTGAGCTCAAGACCAGCTTGGTCTACATATCCAGTTTAGGCCTGCCACAGCTATATGGGAACAAAAGAAGCAGGTATAAAATATCAAAGGGAAGTATTTATTTACATTTTAGTTTCCTAGATCAGTGTATGGATTTTCTTGGAGAATGAAAATGGCAGAGGACAGAATTCCAGTCACTGAAAGCTGCTTGTAGGCAAGTACATGGCCTCACTGTGACTGGAGCGACTTGCCATTTGTTTGTTGTATGGAAGCGTTTTGCTTTGCTTCGATCTGCTTTCACTGGAGTTCAGATCATATGATTGGGAGTATTTGGTTTCTGTAAGTCAGACAACTAGGTCTCAGATCTGAGATGAAGACTAGTTGACCAGAATCACAAAGGCTCATACAAGAGGACTTTGTGGATTTAAAGTGGAAAAGAGCATTTATTCTACTTGCATAGGCATTAGGAGGAAGAATGAGTCAGAAAACACTACTGGAGTTATGACTGGAGTTAAGCTACGGGACCTTCTTTTCTATATACTGGTAGGCAGAGTGTGTGTGTGTGTGTGTGTGTGTGTGTGTGTGTGTGTGCGTGTGTGTGTTGCATGCACGTGTACATATGGGTATGTATAAGTGGAATACTCATGTTTGTGCATGTAGAGGCGAAATATTGATGCTGGGTATCCTCCTGCACTGCTTTCTACCTTATTTTTTGAGTCAGGGTTTCTCACTGAACCGGAAATTAATTTTTTCAATTAGACTGGTTGGTCAGTGAACTCCCGAGATCTGCCTGTCTTTGCCCCTGTCCAGCACTGGAGTTACAGACATGTTTTGCCATCCTTGGCTTTTTGCATGAGTGTAGGGATCTGAACTCAGATCCTCATTCTTGTGTAATAAATTGCCCATTGAGCCATCTCCCTGGGCCCTGAACCTTCTTAAATATATGGACTGTGAAGGTTGAATGATAGAAATTCTGTCTGGACTGACCATCTATCATGGCATGGAAGGGAAACACTTCTTTTTACCGATCTTGGACTCTCAATGAAAAAAAGCCAGGCCTCAGCCTTTAAGTCTTTTTAGCAAGCCATATAGAGTCAATATGTGACTCTTCCCAATTTATTTTACTTCAGAGGCATACAGATGAAGCTACAGGATTTTTGTTAATAATATGGCCTCACATATGGAAACAAGCCTTAAGGTATGATGAAGGAGTATCTTTGAGGGAAGACCAACTTTTTAAAAAAATATTTTATGTGTATGCGTGCATTGCCTGCTTGTAGGTAAGTGCACCCGTGTCATGCAATGCCCACAGAGGTCAGAAGAGGCTGTTGGAGCCACTGGGACTGGAGTTACAGTCAGTTGTTAGCTGCCGTGTGGGCGCTGGGATTCAAACCCGGGTCTTCTGCAAGAACAACCAGTGTTCTTAACCACTGAGCCATCTCTCCAGCCCCTGGGATGACCAACTTTTATGACTGAATTTTTGGTTTTATTTTGCTTCCTTTTATTTTACTTTGGTGACAATTTAAACCATAGCCTCACACATGGTAGACAGGTGATGTGCCTTTGAGCTCTACTCCTAGATCCAGGTTAATTTTTTTAAGTTGTAATTTTCCCTTTGCAATCATCATCTGTGGCTGCATAATATGGTGCTATTTCACCATATTATAGGTAATTAAAAGAGATCTTTTTTCTAATTTGGCGGTGAACTTCAAAGGAAAATGACTAACATTGTTAAAAATGACATTATCCTTTATGATGAACTGTGGTCCACACACAGTTCTTACATAGCTAGTATTTTAGATGCATGCAATATAAAGACAGTTATAGGTGAAAAAAATCAGTTATTTGTACTCAACACTGGGCAAAATGGCATGCTGAATACACTGGTTTAAAATAATAAGCCCAATTCCCTTCCCATTTCATTTACATGTTTGATAAAACACAGTTCTCCACACTTCCGTCATGATGACTCAAAATAGTTCAATGACAGATTGAAGAAGAGGAAAAGCCAGTGGTGGAGGAAACAGGGAACAGGACAGCCGTCCAGGTGTTCATCCTTGAAGGGTTCCCTGCTGCCCAGCACCTGCGTAGCCTCTTCTTCCTGGTGCACTTGCTGGCCTACTTGGCTTCCATCATGGGCAACGTGCTCATCATCAGCATCATCTGTGTGGACCATCGCCTGCAGACCCCCATGTACTTTTTCCTCAGCAGTTTCTCCTTTTTAGAGTGCTGTTTTATAACTACTGTTATTCCTCAATTGCTGGCCATTTTTCTCTCAGGGAGACAAGCAATTTCCTTTGCTGCCTGTTTCACACAAGCCTTTTTCTTTCTTTTCCTGGGAGCGACTGTCTTCTTCCTTATGGCTGTGTTATCCCTGGACCGGTACCTGGCTATTTGCAAACCTTTGCATTATCCTTCCATCATGAACTCAAGGATGTGCTTCCTCCTGGTGGCTGCATGTTTGGTTTTGGGATTCCTCTTCATGGCTGTCCCAGTTATAATGCTTTCCCAGTCATTTTTCTGTGGCCCCAATGTTATCCCTCATTTTCTCTGTGATTTTGGACCCTTGACAAATCTCTCCTGTTCAGAAACCAGATCTATAGAAATGTTGTTTTTTAACCTTGCTTTAATTGTACTTTTTTCAACCCTCATTATAGCCATCTTTGCATACAGCAATATAGTAGTCACAATAGTATGTCTCCCATCAGCCAAGGAGCGTCAGAAAGCATTCTCCACCTGTTCCTCTCATCTCATCGTCCTCTCTCTGATGTATGGAAGCTGTGTCTTTATATACATGCGGCCAAACCAGGCAAGCAGGCTGGACACCAACAGAGAGGCCGCTCTTGTGAACACGGTACTGACGCCCCTTCTCAATCCAGTCATCTACACCCTGAGGAACAAGCAGGTCCACCAGGCTCTGAGGGATGCGCTGTCTAAGATTAAGCTGCACAGATATCAAAGGAACAATGCACCGTCCCTTTGATTTAGCCTGACTACATTTCTATATAAGTGTTTTGTACAAATTTGCAGGTATGTTATTTTCAATTATGCTTTTTTATTCTTAGAACCATGGCTAACTTATCCAATAAGCGAATCCAAAGGCCTTAATGATCTTTGTGATGAAAATTTTTCTATATTGTCTTTGCATTGCCTTTTAATTGATAAAACTCCAACACTTTCAATAAAGGGCCTCAAATTAGCCAAGGATTTGTTTGATATATGTTAAATCTGGGAAGCTCTGTTTTCAAGTATCTTCTGAGAAACTAAAGAGGAGATAGAGTTGGGGATGGAGAATTAAATTCATGAGTACAAAGAATATAAAATTAATTCAAGGACAGACTTTATGTGGTTATCATGCTAAACACAGAAGGACACAGAAACATAACTGTTATGATATTAACAAGTTACTAAACATGACTCCCTATGTTTCCTATGATGAGTATTTGTATATAAATAGAAATTGCTACACCTCCAGTTTCCACTCTGATGAAAATATGCAAATGAATCTGGTTGAAATAGAAAATCTCCATTGCTTCCATTTGTTTGCCAGGCTGATTTCAATACTAAAGCCCTGAAAATAAAGGACCATGAAATGGACAGAGTACTGCAAATTCTGGAAAAAGGAGCTGAGTAGTTAGGTCGGTCCCTATGCCAATTATAAATAAATGTAAACAGTGAGAAATTATATTAGAGGTTGAAGAAGTCTATTTGTGAATGTAAAGTTTCTTCAAATGAATTTATGAACAAGGAGTCATGAATCCATTTTAATACTAAAGTAAAATTAATCTCTATGTAATGTGTCACATGACATGCTAAATGGAGTGAGAAAAGAAAGGAAAAAAAAATCTCATGTATTGGAGAAAGGGCAAACTGAAGCAACTTTAAGATCATAGAGTTAAACATAAGTTTACAATAATGAAAAGCTATAAGTAGATTAAAACCTCCAATTAAAGAAAAAGAAAATTTGGCCGGGTGCGGTGGCACAGGCCTTTAATCCCAGCACTCGGGAGGCAGAGGCAGGCCTGTGAGTTCAAGGCCAGCAAGCCACATAGCCTTATAAAAATGAAATAATCAAGAAAATATAATAATGACACATATATACACACAATGGAAATTTTTTAAATGTATGGACTAAAAGGAGAAATAAAGAAAGTATAACGAGGTTTGGAAGTTTTAACATCATTGCTTCGGTAACTAAGAGGGAAAAGATAACACTAGAGGTGCGGAGCATTTACAAAGCTCTATCAACTAATCAGGCGTGGCTAATACAGATTATTTTATTTTACATTTGCAGAATGCCCATTGTTTTCATGTAAAGATGGGAAACTTATCAAGACAGAATTTCTTCTGGATTGCAAAATGAATCTTGAAATTCTTTGAAGGAATGGAAATACAGATATTTTCCAACCACAAATTAAATAAGAAAGCAAAAACAACAAGATAAATAAATTATCTGGGTGATTCTTAATATTTGGCTACAAAGAACTCTATAAATATCTCTTGGCTGAGAGAAAATATTAAAGACAAAATTTGAAGATATTTTTCAGGAAAGAAAAATTTAAAAAAGACCATATTAAAAGTCAGTGTAGAGAAATGCTATTATTTGAAAAAAAAAGGATAAGATTAATTATTTAAGCACCTAAATTTAAAAAGTAATAACATAATAGAAATTCAAACTTAAAGTATATGAGTAACCTTGCAAGCAGTATGCCTATCAATGAATCAGTGAAATAAGAGGCAAAGTAAAAATAAGCAAAGCAAAATTTCATTCTCTGAAGTGACTCACCAAATGCTTAAACGCAATAAGATTAACCAGAAATATGGTGGTAGGGAGGGTGTGGGTCAAGGAAGGGTTTCTACATGAAGAATCTGCGAGTCTGGCACATATCGCAAGCACAATACAATATTCTAAATGCCTTTATGCTAATAAATTTGATAGCTAGTGTGAAATGGACTATTTCCTTGAAAGATATAATCCATCAAACAGAAGAAGAAATATAATATTAATCTAATTTTGATCTACTGAAGAATTTAGCATTCAAAACCCTCCTGCAAAGAAGGCCCGAGGTTTGACTGAGGAGCGTTATAAGATAGAAGATGACTCTCTAGAATACACAAAGAATTTTAAAAACTGAACACTAAGAAAACAACTCAATTACAAATGGTCTGTGAGGGCCGGAGAGACAGTTCAGTGGTTAAGAGCACTGGCTTCGCTTGCAGAGGACCAGGGTTTGGTTCCCAGCACCCAAATGGCAGCTAACAAGCATCCATAACTCCAGTTCCAGGAGATCTGTGGGCATCGTGGAACATGGGTGCACTTTCATATGTGCAGGCCATACAATTATACACATAAAATAAAAATAATGAATAAAAGATTTAAAAATGGCCTATGCACAGCAACTACCTTTATTGGTGTAGTAGAGGCACTTTGATCTAGGGGTAATCAAGAGCTATCCAATTGAACTTAAAACCCTCTCAACGGGAGGAAACTCATGGGTGGAACCATAAATATAGCCAAATACACAGGGGTGGAGAGGTCATAGATTCTAGAGAAAACCTTATCTCTGGAATATCTCTAGACAAATGTAACTTCTTACTATATGCTAAATATAGATCCTTATATTCTCAGACAAATATACTGTACACCGTTCATCAAAGAAGCTTATTTTTGCAATAATTAGAGGCGATTACAGAGTTCTGCAACTGGTCACACACAGAGAATATGTGTCTGAGTGATGCCCCACTCTAAGTGACACATCTACAGTGGAAACTCTAAACCTAAGGCTCATGGAACATAGAGGAACAGGGGGCAGAGAGAACACTAATACATCTCTCAACTCTCACCAGTGAAACTTTCTCATACAACAAAGACTGATGCACACAGAAGGCCAAACTGATTAAATTTAAGAGAAGAAGAGACTGTAGAGTGCAAGTTCCTGGATAGGGTTCCTATATTAAACCTCACCCACCCATGGCTCAGGGACCATTGTGGAAGAGGGGACAGAAAGATTGTAAGAGCCAGGTGCATGAACATAAGAAAACAGAGGCTTTCATGTCCCTGGGAACTTGCTCATATGAACTTGCAACAATGGTGACAACGTGCATAAGACCCATGCTGACTCAATCAGACAAAAGCCAGCATAGAACAAGGGAAATGGGCAGCAGGTCCCAACCTTAGCTGAAGAACTATTGGCAATTGATTACTGCTGGGTGAGGGAGAGGAGATCTTTTTTTAAGGGAGTGACTCTAGATAGGCTGACTAGACTCCAGTGGATGAACTTGCACCAAGAGACATCTGATTACAAATGCTTGACCAAATAGGACTTCACATATATGACAGAATGCATGAAATCCAGTGGAGGGGGGACTTTGGGTGATGTGGATGGGGGAGGGCGTCTAAATTTGATTAAGATCTATTATATAAAATGCACAAAAACTCAATAAAAATATTTTTGAAAAACTAAAAAAGGGTCTATGTAACTAAACATAAAATTTTCAAAAGAAGAAATGAAAATGGGTAGAAAACACATGAAAAATGTTCAGCATCCTTAGCCATCAAGGAAATACAAATTAGAACTAAGATTCTGGGGGCTGGAGAGATGGTTCAGTGGTAAAGAGCACTGACTGCTCTTGCACAAGACCTGGGTTTAAATCCCAGCACCCATGTGATGGCTAATAACCATCTGTATCTCCAGTTCCAGGGGATCTGATGCCTTCTTCTGTCTTTCATGGGCACTGCATAACATGGGTGTACTTACATATGTGCAGGCAATACATACATATACATGAAAGTAATAGATAAAATATTTTTTTTTAAAACTAAGATTCTGCTCTGTGTAGTGGTGCACCCCTTTAATCCCAGCTCTTGGGAGGCATAGACAGGCAGATCTCTGTGAAATCAAGGTCAACCTGGTCTACATAGTGAGTTCCAGGCCAGCTGTGACTACAGGGACACCAAATACTAGCATGAATAGCCCCAAAGGGACCCTTTATACACTGTTGGTGGGATCACAAACCAGTGCAGCTACTTTGGAAATCACTGGGTCCATTTCTCAGAAAAACTAGACTAGAAAGAAATTCCCTTTGATCCAGCTATGCCACTCCTGGACATATACCCAAAGGGTATCATTTCCTACTACAGAGACACTTGCACATCCATGTTCATTGCTGCTCTATTCATAATGGGTAAGAAATGGAATCAATCTCGATGTATTTAATAGATAAGAAAAATGTGGTACATATATATCATGTAAAAAAAATGAAATCATGAAGTTTGCAAGTAAATGGATGGAACTGGAAAACAATATAATTCAAGCCCAGAGAGACAAATGCCATTTGTTCCCCTTATATGGGGATCTTAGCTTCAAACTGTTTCGTGTGTTTAACCTGGAGCACAAGTAGAAGCCAGCAAACTAGAAAGGGGTGTTGGGGGGATTGCTAGGGGAGGGATATAATAGATTACAGGCAAATGAAAGTGATGAAATGCAATACCGGGCAGAAAGGCTTGAGCAGGGAGTGATGTGGGAGTGTGTGGGAAATCAGGGGCTACGCAGAACGATAACTCAGAGGAATGGGGAGTGGAAAACCACACAAAAACCTACTATCTTATAGCTCAATTTAATAAGTGAAAGGACAGTGCAACATGTGAAATGAAAGAAGCAGGGAGGCTGAGGTTAAAGTGGAGAGAGGAGCAGTGGGATGGGAAAGAGAAGTAGTCGTGTGTGGATTAATGAAAACTAAGGATTTATGGAAAAACCTTATGGAAACCTACTTGTTAATAAGCTAATTTCAAAATACGACTTAAAAGAAGAGTTCAAGTGGGATTACCCTGTGTGGGTGGGCAAGGTCACTCCCAGAAGACATGGGTAATTAAATGAAGATTGCAGTGCAAGGCATGGGCTACCTCCCTATGAGGTTTTGGCCCCAGAGGACTCCCAAGGGCTATTGCCATTGACCTTGGTTACGCACCATAAATGCGTGGCA